GTATTCTCCACCCTTACAAAAAGGGACACATGAAAAGATTTCAAGTTAGGCACACTAGAAATTATGGAAGTAATGATATTGATAAAAATTGAGACTTTAGTCACCATATGTCACATATTTCAATGGTGATGCACTTTAAATACGTATTTGCCATTTTGCAAATAATAAATGAATTACCGTATTTACTCCAGTATAGTGCGCCACCGTGTATAAGACGCACCCCCGCTTTTGAGGTCCCAATTTATGTAAAAAAAAAAAAAAAAAGATTCCTCGTGTATAAGGCGCACCCCCCATTTCGCAGCGAAAAGTGTCGGACAAGGGAGATGAATAAGGGGTAAAGCCGGTCTTGAGGTAGGCCGAACCTCGTTTCTTATTCACTATCCTAACCTTTATCGAGCACAGTATCCCTAACTATTGGGATCATTTCCGGTAATCAAGAAGGAAATGGCCGAGAGTGATCGAGACGCGAACCCATACGATTGCAAGAGCAAACGGGATCTCCCATAGAAAATTCAATGCATTATGAGGATGAACGGCGCGATTCATGATGCGAATTGGATTTTCTCTTCGTCGGAAAACCTCAGCGGCTCAAAAATTTCCGTGAGAAACGATTGTCTCTGGAACGGCCCCTCGGAGGAGGATGAGAGCTCCGCGAATCGATTTTCCACGCTGCCAGACACCTCAGATTTCGATACTGTGAATGAAGTCAGAGAATCGACATAGCCACTCCCTGTTTACTGTTTCATTATTATTATCATATTATATTTCCCCGGTTCTGACTGACTGCAGACGCTGTTTCCGCCTCAATAAGTGACCAATGAGAAAACAAAACTTTTTTCTTTAAAATGAGAATTTTTTTCTTCGAGTATAAGACGCACCCCCTCATCGAACACAATAATATATGCAACAAAAAAAAGCGCCTTATACACGAGTAAATACGGTACTTCATGATTTTTCTCATTAAAAAAAAATACTTTTCTTGAAAAAAATATAATTCATGAAGTAAAATTTTGCATGCAGATGCAAAAGATACAGGCTAGAATTGCTTGTGCTGACTTTTGTTTTTAAAAAGTTTATTCTAAAACATAATTGTGAATTTTTAAATTAGCTCATTGACCATACAATTGAACAGGCTTGCTAATGAACCAAAGCAATAGACCATGACAACTCTCCTGCTCCTTTTTCAGGTGATTCCAGTTCTGAATCCAATAAAAAAAATAATACAGAAAAGCTAAAGGTACCTTGTATCTCAGCTAAAAAGCTGAGATACAAGGTACCTTCAAAAAGTTTCCAGACTCAGCCTATAGTAGCGCTGCTGTGGCAGGTAGCATGACGCATGCAGAGGCATGTTGAGACATTCCTGCCACTCACTCACAGATACTGGCACTTTTCAGTTCCCGTTTGCCTAGATGTGAAGGTCGTGGTAGAGGACAGTGTGTTACCACTTCGAAGTGTGAAAATGGATCGTTTAGAGCAACGGGCCAACATCAAATTTTGCCAGCACTTGGGAAAATTGGCCATGGAAACCCTGCAGATGCTTTGGACAGTGTATGGCAAAAACTGGGTGCTACACCATGACAATGTTCCCGCACATCGGTCTCTTCTTGTGCAGCAACAGCTCACCAAACATGGAACTGTGGTGCTTCCTCACCCTCCGTACTTGCCTGATCTCACACCTTGTGCTTTTTACCTCTTCCCATGCAAGAAAGCCCGATTGAAGGGCTGCCACTTCAAAGATGCAGAGGAGATTAAGGCGACTTCAGAGACAGCATTGGAGTAGGTGGCACGTGGAGGCTTCCAGAAATGTTTCGAGGAACTGAATCAACGCGGCAGAAGTGTCATTGCCCAAGGGCAGTATTTTGAAGGAAATTGTGTATAATTGTTCCTAAGTGTCTGTGAAATGGTGAAATAAAATCAGTCTAGAAACTTTTTGAAGTTACCTTGTACATCATTTTAACTCCCAGTGCATAAGTAAGCCTGCTTGAACTACTTCTGAATGAATGAACCTGCTTCTAGCCTGACTTTGGTTCGATTGCCAATGTGGCTGTTTGATGCCACACCTCACTGTTAGCAGCTTTGAGCAAGGTTGCCCAAAGGCTTGCTACTCCTCAGATGTTATCTATCTAGGGCTTCTTGAATACAACTTCTGCAAGGACTCCCAGTCCAACATACAGTGTACATGACCATACCACTGCAGTTGACAATCCTCCATTTGTTTACTGGTGACACCATTGTTTCTCTGGTGTAAGTGTTTCTTTGAAAATGCAATTGTGTGATGCCAACTATTTTCTGTCAGCATATCATCTCAGAAATGTCTCATTTTTACTTTTTGTGAGTCTTCAATGTCCATGTCTCACTACTGTACAGGACAATAGGCAGTACAAGACATTTATACTCTCAATTTGAATTTGACCCCGATTTCCTTTGACTTTGCCTGCTGTTAATCAACTTCTGGAAGATATACTAGCAATGAATAGGGTACTACAGAATTACAGGAATACAGCTATATGGTTTCTTCTTTCCACTTCAAGAATATGATTACAATCATGTTTTTGCTAATGAACACAACGAATGTTTTGCCAACACATTATTAAATAAAGCTGCTGTGATTTGTGTAATTGGTTGTTAGTAAATTCACATGTTCCTTGTTAAAGAAGGCTCTAATTTACTGAATGCATCATACCAACAATGTGGACAGGGTAAGACAGGAGATGATAAGAAAACATGCTTGCATGCCTCAACATATAGCACCTGAGTTTGAATACAGAAATATTAATCTCCAAAAAGAGAACTCTTTCTTCATCCCACCTTCCTCTCAGGAAAAAACTAACCCAGTGCATGTGCACACTTGATCTCAGCTTGTACATCTATTCCTAAATGGAAGTCAGATGATATCAAGCTCCACCTCTTAGGGTTGCAGTCAAGACTGCCAGGATTTCTACATAAAAGTTCTAAAATTGTCAGTTACACAAATAATCAGTGATTCTTGAGTCATTTATGACAGTGAAGAGCATTTGGCCACCAGAGACAACTTCATTCATTAATTGGTCCTTGGTAACATTGCTATTAAGATCAAATGGGTGTTGGAACAAAATTCAACATAAGAGTTGTGTGGTGGGTCAAGAAGAGATGAACTCATCAGCTAGCATTTCTTGATATCACAGCTGTGTATTTGGTGGAAAGGTGAAGTCAGTCCTATCCCATAGCTGCAGCCATGTGGGCAACCTGGCTCCTCACAATGCTGTCCATGATGTGGAAGACATCTTCGCAGCCCTTCAGGGCAGCATCCATGACCTTGTCTAGGTAATCCAGGTGAAGTCTCCCACTCATCTCTGAGAGGACAATCTGCTTGGATCTTGGGAGACAGGCAAATGTGACCATTGATCCAACCACAACCTCTTCCAAGTGACTCAAGTCCAGGAATGGGAAGTCATCAACCATGGCAGCACTGCATGCACAAACATAGTCTTTCATGGGGACACCAGCATCAATAAGGGCCAAGGTGGCTGCATTTATGGCTGCTGATGCCACACCACCATCTGCCTGCAAAACCTGAAATGTAACCATATTAATTGATAAGTCTCTCCAAAATTGCACAGATATATATCAAGGCACAATAAAAAGAGGGCATTGTGTTTTTGTATGATACATAGCCATTGCAGAAAAGTTTTACATGAAAGGTATGGAAGAGAGACTAGGAATTGATGATACTCCAAACCTTGAAGTGCAAAGCAATACTGACACTTCAATAGCGATGAAGATTTTGTAACATGAAAATTGTTCTTCCAAATCCATGCATATCTCATGACACTGTTTCTTTTTGTAGTGTGGCAAAAAACTACCAAAAAACTACCTCTTGAGTTCCACTCTAAGCTAAACATCATGACAGGCATATACAAGTACTAATTCATGCTATGAAAAAAACAGATTCATGTCAATTATGGTAGCAGTGTCATTGGTTATGACTACAGTTAAACTCTGGGGAGTTTGACTTAACATGCCAAAAGGCAAGAAATTGGAGAAAAAAGGACCAGTGCAGTGTGGGGTCCTGACTGGAGAAAGTGAAACATTTTTCAGATGTGAAAATATTTCACATTTCACAAATATCAGAAGATATTTGTGAAATAGTGAAAGTGAGTTTAAAAAGTCATCCCAAAGGGAATTTGGAAAATAGTGGAAGGCTAACTGGAGGAAAGGTTGATTGTAAGTGGAGAGAGTAAGCAAAGCAATTTTCAGCATAGAAACTGAAAATAAGAGAGAAGAAAGGGCAATGTGAATCAAGAGGTTTAAAGGTGTTCATAGAAAGCTCTTCATGGAAAGGACTCTTTTTTTTGGGAAGGACATACTGAGATCAAATGGTACAGAAAGTAGATAGTGATAAAGTATAGACAGGGACCCAAAAAAAGAGACAAATGAAAGGGGAAATTTAAAAATCATCACCAATATAGGGTAAGGGCAGGCAAAAAGAACTAAGCCAATTAATTCCTAGTTCCAACTCAAGAGGGTGTTTTGCTTGCTATTGCATGACATGTCATCACTTTGTGTACTGATTGCACAGCATGCAATATGAATACATATGGTTGACAGACATTGAGGGGCAAAGGTATGATTTACAGACGTTTCCTTACAAGTTAAGCCCTTACAGAAATGTCAAAATAAAAGTGCATGTAACAGAGATTTGATATTCTGCTTTGGCGTTGTGTCAAGTGACCATGGGTGTATGCTGGGGGTAAAAGTTTGATTGATTCGGTTCTTGAAATCTCCGCCAGAGGTTGTGAATGTTGAAGGTCAGTGTTAGGTAAAAGGAACCAGGCAAAAAGAACCACTGGTTCTTCTTCTGTAATGAACAATACATTGAACCAATAACTGAAGATTGGATTCATTTAAAGAATGTCAACACAAGAAATGCTCAGTTTATGAGGGCCATGGAGATAATGTTTGCAATGACTGTTCTGCCAGTGACTGAGCTCCCAAGAGGACCTCATCTTTTTCCTTGTTCACTTCAAATTGACAAACTGCCCATGAGCAATGGTACTGAACTCCAAAGTGGACCTAGTGGTTTTTCTTTCAATTCGTGTAGCTAAAACCACCTGTGAACTATTGCATTTTCTAAGAGAAGCAAATAAAGTTCTAAGTATTTCTTTGATTTATGGGTTTGGTTCCTTTTTACCCACCTGGGTGGGCAAAAAGAACAGTTTGCATGCCTCGCTTTCTCCTGATAACTCCATCTTGAATGCTTTGATGGAATCCTGTCTGGTCATGGTGGTAGAGGGAGAGTTGCTTTATAGCCCAAAACAGAAACATTTGTTCTCTGCCATTATACCAAGTAGATATGATCATTGGCACTTAAATTGTTCCCCATTCCTGCCCTTACCCTAATGCAAGAACAGGTCACTGCCCTGAAACATGGAAATGTAGGTCAATTTCAGCTATTGAAGTAATCAAATATGATAAGAAGGAATTTAAATGTTGTTGATTGTGATTATGAATAAAGTGACTAAAATAATATTGATGGCCACTTTCTTCATAATCATAATAAACAATTTTAAAAATTTTTCTCCGAAAAAAAATCTGATTATAAGTACTATTAGCAATAACTTCAGAAAGCATCATTGATGACAACACCATTATGATTACAATCATAACCTACCCATCTCTGCACTATACAAATACATACCTCCACAAAAATATCAATTTGAGACCGAGGAAAGAGCTCAACACGAATGGCAGC